GGCTAGGGATCCCCCCCCCCCCCCGCACCCTCAGGCGGGGTCTGCTGTATCTCATGAGTACCAGCCCAGTATTGGAGTCAGCCATGCTTGTACGAATTCTGTGGGATATGTAGTTGGAAAAGGTGAGGAGGGGAGCAGGGCTCACAGAAGGTCCTGATGTGTGACTATGTGGTCTGGTTTGTCCAGGTCAGTCTAGGTTTGTGGCTGGAGGAGACTGCTACACTGCTGTCAATGATCTTGACTCTGAGTAATAATCTACTGTCAAAAGTATCTGGATTTGGGTAAAACATATGTGGCTACTGCCCCTCAGGGAGCTAGGGACCCTGGGATTCCCAGGGAGGACTTCTGTGTGGCCCTCCCATGGACACTAACGACATCATTGAGCTGGAGCTGCAGAGACAGGGCACAATCATGGCAGTGGTGGAGGGTATGCAGTTAGGGGGGTGGGGGAAGGAGCACCGGCCTCAGGCACTGCACTGTCCTGCCCTGAACTCCAAAGGGTATCGGAGTACCCTCCCCACTGCAGCCAGGGGCATCTTTCTGACTGCAAGGCTCCCTGACTTCCTCTCCCGGGCACCCACTCCTTAGCCACATTGCCACCCTACACTTGTTCTCTGCTATGCAAACCATGCTCCCTGGAGACACCCACCAGTCCCTCCTGTCAGCTGTCATTGTCACCTAGGAAGCTCCACTAGCAAACTTAGTTCCTACTTGATGATTATCCTGAAGCCTTCCTGACTGCATCGGGGTGATGAACCCTAAATCTCTAGATCCCCAGACCTTGAGGCTGAGAGGCCTCTGACTGCACATGTGGCCCCACATAGCAAGGGCAGGGTTCAGCCTTGTGACCCTGACTTTTCTGCACCTTGGGGCAGGCTTCCTGGGTATCGCATATGCAGCCTAGGACTAGGACTAGGATTTGACTAGGACTCAAATCTGGGTGGAACACTTGCTCTGTTGGGTGCATGGCTGCTGCCGTCAGAGATCAGCAGTGCTTCTGGACAGAGGTTCAAAGGTAATCTGAACTGACCATTCCCCAAGCTCACTGCATACCTCTCTCGTCTGGCTTAGAGTCAGCCACAGGCCTGGCCTGTCTACCTCTTCTTCCTTAGGGCAGCCACCTCATAACCAGTTATCCATCTTGCAACCAAGATCTCTTTGCTGTGGAATCTACCTGCTCTGAACCTGGCCCTTAGTAGATTCAGAGTGAGGCTCACTGAAAGTGCGGCTCTGGTGGGAGTCCCATCTGTTCATGGTGTCAGGCTCCTCTCCTCGTTCCTCCACCATGAGACTAGATTCCTCAGACCTGGAGCCTCCCACAGTAAGGGCTGGGTTCCTTCTTCCATGCTCTAAGCTTCCCTAAGTACATGATGTACCTACAGTGTTACGCGTGACAGTCACTCACTGGCAAGTACTCTGTGCCAGGCGCCAAGGGGTCTCTCCAGAACCGTGGGGACCAAGGGATGAGTAGCTCATCCCTGCCCTCAGGGAGCCTGTGTCTGGGGGTTGGGTGGCAAGCATAGACAGAACATTGTGGCCCCAGTCTGGCTGGCCTCCAACCAGAACTCTCCCCACTCCTCCTCCTCTGGATCTCTGGTTCACTTGCATATTGTGCTCAATGCTGGAACATTCCTCCTTTGTCTGTGGCTAATGCAGGTTCTTCTGTGGCCTTTCACTTTACAGGAATCTCTTGTTATTGCCCCAATCTCAGCTGCAGCCACATCTAAATGAGATATTCCGGCCATGGGCTGTAGCTGTCCCCAGAGCAAGGATTCCCTACCCTATATGAGGCAGCAATTTCCTGGGTCTTCCAGGCTCCTCATGAGATTTGTCTTCTCTGGCTCCCACCAAATCCCTTTGTGCACGGTGTTACCTCATTGACAGACTATTTCATTTATTTGGCAAATATTTACAGAGTCCTACTTCAGGCTGGGGACTTCTCTCGCCAGAGGGGATAAATGAATTAATGGCAGACCCAAATTCTGCCCTCATGGAGCTTGTGTTCCAGTGGGAAGGGCTGGATAGTAAGTAGTCCCTAACGAAGGATTGAGTGTATCATATGTTAGAGGGCTTTCCAGATCATGGGAGCAACGTGGGGACATAATAAAGCAATGACAGTTGGTCTATTTTTTTTTGTGGGGATAGGGGTTCAGTCTACAGTTCAGACAGGGTGGATGGGGTTAGTTTTACGGAGCTGGTGATGCCTGAAGATGGAGAGGGAGTACATTATGGTGACATCTGGGAGAAGCATCTATGCTAAGGGAATAGCCAGTGAGAGGCAGAAGCACGCAGAAGGGTTCTTGAGATGACATGGTAGACTGTGCTGCTGGGGTAGATACAGGACATGGGGTCAGGAGCAGGGGCAGAACAGGAGGAGCACACAGACCACTGCAGAGACTGGCTTTTGCCCTGAGAAAATGGTGGCTGTAGGCATGTCCAGAACATAGATATGGCCTCCTTTGCCTAATCCAAGCTTTCTGGGTGGATGAACATCCAAATACCACAGCAAAGGAAACCCTGGGGGAAACTGTGTGGTGCCTGGGGGGATACCTGATTCCATCCAGGGACCTGGGGCAGTATCTCAGAGTAGGCAACACCAAACCATGATCAAGTTGGAGGAATCCAAGAGAGGAAGAGTCTGGACAAAGGTTCAGAAGTACTAAGGGACAAGCTGTAAATTCCACAGACAAAGCCACCAGAGGGTAGGTCTTAGAGGATCCCTGAGTGCTAGATGGAGTGTCTGGGAATTTGTTGGAGATCAATGAGGAGGCCTGGTAAAGTTTGGGCAGGGTGAAGCCAAACTCAACTATTTGGGGCCCTACTCAGGGTCTTGCTAGCCTGTTTGTGACCTTTGCTCCAGTATTTGTATCAAAGTAGAAGGTCCTGAGACAGATTCAAGGCCAAGCTCACAGTAACTAGGTTTTCCCTTCTGTGGGCCTTCTGGTTCAAGTTGCTGTTCTTGATGTTTTAACATCAATAAGCTGTGCGGCCTTGAGCAAGAAAGTCTGCTCTCTTCTCTGAGCTGTAGTTTTTCCCTCCATAAAGGAGATGACAGTAGCTTCTACTTATTAGAGCTGGTGAGAAGCTGGTCTATCTATACCCACCATACAGTAGGCATCTGATAAATGCCATGCAATCATGTGGGCCTAGCTCCAGGACTTCGTAGCTGATGACGCAGTGGCCATCAGGGCAGGAAGAGAGGAGGGCCTCACCTGGGATGTGTCATGGTTGAAGATGACTGCATTGAGGTCCCCGCAGTTGTAGTGTTTGATGAGGTCCTCTGTGGTGTAGGGTGCCTGCAGGCTCCCAGCCCGCACACTTTCATGCTGCAGCAAAGTCTGGTTCAGGGCAAACAGCACCTGGCCGAGGAAAGAGAAGGGCATCAGGGATGTGCTCAAGGACTGTTTGGCCTCTGGGAGTGTACCTCCACCCTCTGGACATTGGGGCTATAGGCATGGAACAGAAGGTGCATGACACAGCAAACCATTCAAATTTGGAGTTTGGGGTGAGTCTTCCTTTTGACTCCCTTGTTCTGCTTTGCTTAGAAGTATTCCAGAACAAGAAAACCCATGTTACAGTCAAGAGCACCCCCAGATGCAGTCTAGGCAATGAACAATAGAAATCAAAGCTCAGTTCTGTGTCCAGGCCCAGCGGCCTCAGGAGCAGGATCCTTGGAGCCCACCTTCCCATGCATTCAGCAGATGCACCCTCTATCTCCTCTGTTTTCTGGGCTACTGGCTCCAGGGTTGCAGTTTCCAGAATCAGGGTCACTTAGAATAATCTACAGAGACCCCTTAAGAATGTTTCCCAGGCTCCCAAGCACTTTCTAAGCAGCTTATGGCATTTGGAACTCATGATTCCCACAGGGGCCTTAGACACAGGCCCTGGGAGACTACCTGTTTCAGCCTTCCCATTTTGTTTACTTGAGACAGGTTCTCATTATGTAGCTTCAGCTTCCTTGAACTCACAGTCCTCCTGTCTTACCTCCCAAGTGCTGGCATTATAGGCACAGACCACCATACCTAGCCAGAGACCCCAGTTTTAGATGGGGGAAACAGGCCCAGAGCGTGGAAGGTACTTTACCCACATGGCTTGAGCTGGAGTCTGTGTCACAAGATCTGGTATCCCAGACCTTTTTTTTTTTTTTTTTGCCAACCAAGGGACTTTGTTGATCTCACCCGTTCTGATGCTGGACCTGCTTCAGCCAATGGGACAATGGCAGTAAGCATTACACAAGAGGGCCTGAAAAGCACCTGGGTGCTGTGGCTAGCCACTCTTCATATGCTCTTTGCCTTTGACTCCACTCTGATGGAGGGTGAGAGAGCAAAACATAGAGCAAAACACAGCGAGTGACACTCAGACCAGTGGACAGATAGTCAATTTCTAGACACGTGAGACCACCAAAATCAGTGAAGCTGACCAGCAACTGGTAGAGGCTAGCTAAGCTCTGTATGCTATTGTTATACAGCATGATCTCAGTGACAGATGACTGATGGACCACGCTTCCTTTCACCAATGTGTGTACATTAGCTTTTCTTTGTGTTTAACTGCAGCCTTGCAGTAGGTTGAGTTTCCTAAAGTCAGGAAGTATATCTTCCTGGCTCTTGAATCTGCAGCTTTCAGCACCCTGCCTGGAGAAGAGAGGGCAGTGTGATCTCTGTTTGTCTTTAGAGCCTGGGGAACTGTGGTTCCCTTCATAGTTAAAGGTGCCTTAGAAGAACTTATGGAAAGCATCTAGAAGGCTGGCAGACATTCCCACCAAGACATGTAAGCTGAATAAAAAGCTTTTGAAGTAAGTGTGCAGGGCCAGGTCAACATGGTGACACAGGCAATAAGGCCATGCTTGTGTTCACTCTGTGTTTGTTAATGGCAGGAGGACTGGATTGCACAAACTGTAGGAGCCCCCATGGTTCCCTTTAATGAGAGGGCTGGAGGTGAGGTCAGAACCCTCGCCCCACATCTGGGCCTCCTCCAGGCCCCTGGGCTTTGGCTGCCACCGCTGAAATCAGATCTGCAGCCATCTGGTGCAGAGTGTCGATGGCAGTATGGTGGCTGGGGATGAATTACAGGAGGCAGTGACGTTTTCTGCTGTGGACATTGCTAAGGCAACAAGCACTTCCTCCCACAGGGTGCATGCCTCCGATGAAAGTGTCCGTGTCGAGTTGATCCACTCTCCTCCTCTGAGGGCCCAAAACAGAGGGACTTCCTGTGGCCACACCCAGCTGCTGCACACACCTGCTCTGCCGATTCTTAGATCAGCCCTGCCAAGGCACCACCTGACCTGAGAACATCTGCCTGGGCACCAGAAGACCTGGCTGGAGGGTAAATGTCTCCCCTGGACCCTGCTTGACTTATGAAGTCAGGTCTGCAATGATGTGGCCTTCATGAAGCCGGGAGGTATTCCAGGGGATTAAGTATATTCCCGGCTGCAGGGTGTTAAGAACAGTCCTGGCATGAAGTGAGTGCTTAGTCTGTGTTCCTTACATAAAACTTAGGAGGAAATATTGCCAAATCTTCCCAGCTTGGTGCTAGGAGAGAGAGGGTCCCAAGAATTCATCTGGTGCAGAGGTTTCAAACTACTTTTAGCCGTAGAATTCTTTTGTTGTTACTGTTTCTTCCAAAGGGATCTTTACTTGTAGTCTTGAACATGGAACAGATTAAAATAGTAAGGTCCTGGCTGATATGAGGGAGGCTAGAGGTGGGGTTGGGGATGCCTTCTTGCTGTAGGGATTTCCACAGGGACCCTGGAGCCCAGTTTAAGGACCCCAGATCTCGTTTTGTGCATTCATAGTATAAAATAAGAGAGGGGACAGCATCCCAAGAGGGTAGGATGGGGTGTACATGAGTCCATACAGGGAGCTGGGCAGAGGGGCTCCACCCAAGTGTTCTGACCCTTGGGTCACAAGGCTGATGATGCAGGATCTTCTGGTGTCTACTGGCACAGCCATACCCACTGTTTTTCTGGATCACTATAAGGCAGCCAGGGGTGTTTCCTGTTGGAGTGCTGCAGACAGGAAGCAAAGGCCCGTCAGGCCATTTGAGAGTTTGAGAGCTCCCTACATGTCTCAGCTAGTTTGTGACATTAACACTATCCTGGTGGGATCTGGTACCTCCCACAGACTCCCTGTACACAGACCGCTTCAGAGGCGTGCGTCCTGTGGAATTGATTCGGCACTCTGTCTTTTTGTTCACTGTTGAACCCCAGCATCACAAATATCAGACACTGAGGAATCACTACAAAAGGAAGGTGCTGACCCTCAATCATGTGCCCCCCACTTCCTGCTCCATACCTACTCTTGTAACTCATAAAGGAGTCATCACCCATTCATACCAGGACCCCTGGTTTTATTGAGTACTTGCTATGCATCATAAACTCCCTAAGTGGATTCATTATTTAATCTGTACAGAAACTCCCAGGTAAAATTACGATGAAAAACCCCACAGCAAAGAGACATTAAATACCTTCGAGAGGTGAGAAGGCTGGTGATGTGAGATGGACATTTGACACACGTCCTTAGCCATCACCACTCACAGGGCCTCCCTCTGCTCTGTTGAGGAGAGAGACAGCAGGGATGTACGAATGGGGCGCGACAGAAGCAGAGGGAGTGGTAGGCTACCCAGCTCAACAAAAAGCTGAGGTAGAATTTCAGACCACTTTCTTACTACAAGCAGGCCTTTAGGCACTAGGATATCTTTTGGGAGCATTCTTGGTGCTTCCAACAAGCAGAGGGAAGCTGTATCCTGTCCCTTTCCCCTCCTCCTCCCTTCCCTTCTCTCCTTCATCAAAGGTTTTCAGCAGCTTCTCAGCAGGGACTTGAATTTGATGGAGAAATATGACTTGGTTTCTAAGCACACGGAACTCATGGAGGAGGCAGACATGCCACTGACCTTCACAACAGGGTGACAGAGGCGCAAGCTTTACAATGAAGTACCACCCGGACTTCTGCTTCCCTCTCCAGCTCCCAGAATTCCCTAGGCCTCTGGACATTCTACTCCCAGCCACCTTAGAACAACAAACCTCCCCTAGAAGGAGCCTCAGTGGCCCACACTAGGATAATGTTTATGATAAGGCTATGACATGGAATAACAAACACTGGGTGAAGAGTAGAGGCCTCGCTCCCCCAGATGCCTGTGTGGAGTCTTGGCCACAGGGAACCCTGGTCACCAAGAAAACCTGTGCATTCTCTACTGCCCCCCTCACTAGAGCTCATGGGGCACAGGGTGGCCAGAGGCATCTGTTGAGTTTAGGCTTGGAATCTAAATATTTCTTCAAACAGAAGATTACGGAGGAGAGTGGCAGGCGCCAGGAGGCTGGAAACAGGCTTGTTGTTCCAAAACACTCCAGTAAATAGTCCTAGATAGACAAGAATGCTAGACTTGAGGTCTATACTCACCTGGTCGCCCATGTGACCCGAAGGGAAGGTTTGGATCCAGGGCTTTTAGGACAGGCCGGGGTCTCGGGTTGAGGGTCTAGGGTGAGCAGTGAGGACTTTTACCAAGACAGGAGTGCAGAATAACAACAGCTAAATCCTAAGCGGGTTGACAGTGTTCACTGAGTACCTTCTTGGTGCCAGCACACCAGGCAAAGACTACAGCCTTACTCTCACACAGCATACCTGCTAGGTGTACACAGAAGGGACACTACTATCAGTAAAACTGCACAGAAGTGATACAGTGCTGATCCTGCTGAACTGGCATACCTCTGCAATCACAGGCAAAGAGGGCAGAACAGCCAGTGCTGCTGGAGGCTGGACCCGGAACACCAAGAGAACTGGTTTACTTTCTCCACAGTGGGGGTGAAAAGAGTGTGTAGAACATAGAGTGTCTTTAGGTGACTCAATGCTCCCATGTCCTGTGATTAGAGTCAGTGGAAAATGACAGCACTTGTGCTCAGGCAGATCCTTGAATGAAGGCCAAGAATGGAGCTTTAGGTCCCAGCTAGGTTTCGAACCTCGGAAGCTGAGTCTCTTGCTGAAGCAAAGGAAGTGCAGAATGGATGTTAGAAGAGAAGGTGGTAAGCACCAGAAATGATCATGTATGGTCACTTACAAGAAAATGGAGACTGTAATAGCTATAAATACTTATTTTTGACAGGCATCTTGTGTAGCCCAAGCTAGCCTTGAACTCACTATATAGCTGAAGATAACCTTGAACTTCTGATCCTCCTTCCTCCACTTCCCAAATGCTGGGAATACAGGAACACGCCAACATTCCCAGTTTATGTGGATTCCAGGCAAATGTCCTCAGCTTTGACTGTGTTTATTTTGTGTGTGAGGGTAAGTGTGGATGCATGGTTGGCTATATTCATCTCAAATATCTTTGCTTCCTTGTCCTCTAATCATGTAACATTGATGTATTG